ACGTATCCCCACCAGAACGCAACGCTTGCAGAATTCATACGCAACATACACGACCCCAACAAGATACAATGTATACTCGACGTTCCATATGGACAGGGCGGTCTCCCGTCATATCTGAGGTGCGTAACGTACCATCGCACGCCGTTACAATACTAACCCGTCCACACCTAGTACTCTCGACAGTGGCATTACCAACGGATGGAATCAAACCACAGTCGATTGCCCCATCGGTGACAAAGTCCATCCGGACAACTTCATCGTACATTCGTGGTCTTTGCTCCACGGGCCCGCGTATTGGACAAATCCCCACCACGACTCTGATGGCAGCGTGACCTTTGTTCAAATTGAAACCGGCGAGAAAAAATGGGGCCTATTCAAACCAATCCACGAGGACACGATTACTCGGACCAACCTCTCCAACATAGCCTTAACATTGACCGATCTCTACCGAAACCGAGAGAATATCCAGGAAAATTGGCACGGAGAAATTGTCACTCTCTTGCCGGGTGACATGCTGTGAGTGCATCGTGATATTATATTTATATCGATTTGGACTTATATTTGGGAGTATACAACCGGCAGGACAGTTTCACGCGGTTTACACACCTGTGGCTTCGTTTGCTACCGGGGGGCATTTCTACAACTACGAATGCATGCATTTAACGGAACTCTCTCGTTACATAGACCATAAACAAGGCAAAATCCTCACTAACCAAGTACACGCACACTCCCTCGAAACGTTCCAGCGAATGGTCATCAACTTACCACGCATATCGCGTCGCGTTAGTAAGTCTATTCCTTACCCGCATGAAGTCGCAGGCTTGTAATGCCATCTCCAGAGTTATACAACAGGCCCCTCATCGCCCTGTGCACTATGGTCTTGGAATGCGATAAATATGTGGCTGCCGGCACCGAAAAACCAAAAGTACGATCGAGCACCACTCAACCAGCGCACGATATTGCAAACGCCATCATCAAACATTTCTGGAAGGACTTGAAGACGGCAACCAAGACATATCGCAAGAAGCAGACGGACGGGAGCAACAACCAAATGCATCCAGGGGAACCCATCAGTAGAGAAGAACTATTGACCTGCCTAAAGCGCTTTACGACATTGTAATGTTGTCTGATTCATTTACGTACCTCCAATCTCAGAGACTTCATATACCCACACTCCTACAATACTGTAACATCGATTTGACTTCTGTCGCTTAGAGGACTCTATGGACGTTCGGACTTTGGCGCATCCAGCGATCTCCTGGACTCGTGCTTGTTTAAGTAGTGCTCTCCATTCATACGTAACATTAGCATAGATATAGATATGGCCACTGAGTTAAACCTCAATGTTGCATTTCGCAATGCCTGCCTAAGTACAAATATCGACTTGTTAAACGAGTCAGACATGACTCATATGTCGGGTTAGTTCCGAGGGCAGCACGAAATTACATTGCCTAGATATGGTATCAGATGGGCATCATTCTCCACTTAAATTGGTGGGATTCACACATTTCCCAAACGCTGCGTATATCATATTTATCGCCACTATTTGGAAACATCCTCAGGCTGTAAGGCGTTGTACCTAGATGGGTACACGGGAGTATTTACTATATATGGTCATGGAAAGAGCAACTCCGATGCTCAACACTCGCATGTAATGGATGCTACACTCATTAGCCACCCTTTTAAGACCTTTTCCTCGTAATTCGAGGAATATGTCTCCCGGCCAAATATGCACATCGAATACTGTCTCGAAGCTCTGGTATCCATGAAAGGATTTTTGCCAGACAAGTCGCTGCCTGCCGTTGCCTCGCTGCCAAGTTGATGGCAGAAAAGTTCGGCTCCGTGTAGACTTCTTTTTTCTCAATGCTGCTCGTAATTCTGTCGTCATCGTGTATTAAGAGACTGTAACGATGAAACAGAAAATGCAATGTTAGAGGACTCAGATACTTTACTTCGAATTTTTAACATATACCCTCGGAAGTTGCCAAAGTCTTGGAAGTCTCCAAAGTAACTAGAACGACACGTTTCAATCATACCAATTTCCCACGGCCTAGTGCTCTTCCATCCATGCTCTTCTATTCAAAACACTCTGATGTTCGTCAGGCACGACCCTTTGCTTCGTAATTCGAAGCAGATGCTTGTGGCCAACGTCTCTGCAGTCTCTAAGCTTAATGTCTAAAGTCTCAGAAGTCGCTAAAGCTGCCAAAGTCACCAGTCCGGTCTCCCAAGGTGCCACAGTGGACTCGAACCTCCCACGCCAGTGCCCTTCTATCCCAAACGCTCCAACCTCCCTCAAGTACAAACATCTGCTTCGTAATTCGAAGCAGACGTTGTGGCCAAAGTTTTTGCAGTCTCTAATCCCAATATCTACAACTACACATCTTTGCTCCGTAATTCGAAGCGGATGTTGCCAACGTCTTCGAAGTCGCCAAAGTAAACAGCTACCGCGTTTGACTTGGACCTCCCACGGCACTGCTCTTCTATCCTAAACACTCCGACGTTCGTCAAGTACCACCCTTTGCTCCGTAATTCGAAGCAGATGCATGTGGCCAACGTCTCCGTAGTCACTAAGCTTAATATGTAAAGCCTCAGAAGTCGCTAAAGCTGTTAAATTCGCCAGTCCAGCCTCCCAAGGTGCCACATCTGACTTCAACCTCTCACGCCAGGGCCCTTATATCCAAAATACTCGGACGCTCGTACAAACCTCTGCTTCGTAATTCGAAGCAGATGTCGCCAAAGTCTTGGAAGTCTCCCAAGGTTCCACATCTGACTTGAACCTCTCACGCCAGCGCCCTTATATCCAAAATACTCGGACATTCGTACAAACCTCTGCTTCGTAATTCGAAGCAGATGTCGCCAAAGTCTTGGAAGTCTCCCAAGGTTCCACATCTGACTTGAACCTCTCACGCCAGCGCCCTTATATCCAAAATACTCGGACATTCGTACAAACCTCTGCTTCGTAATTCGAAGCAGATGTCGCCAAAGTCTTGGAGGTCTCCGAAGCTGCTACGTTTCACTCGAACTCCTTGGTACGCCGGTGCCCTTACATCCAAAACATCCCGACGCTCGTACAAACCTCTACTTCGTAATTCGAAGCAGATGTCGCCAAAGTCTTGGAGGTCTCCGAAGCTGCTATGTTTGACTTGAACCTCTCACGCCAGCGCCCTTATATCCAAAATACTCGGACATTCGTACAAACCTCTGCTTCGTAATTCGAAGCAGATGTCGCCAAAGTCTTGGAAGCCTCCGAAGCTGCTACGTTTGACTTGAACCTCTCACGCCAGTGCCCTTATATCCAATGTACTCGGATGTTCGTACAAACCTTTGCTTCGTAATTCGAAGCAGACGCTGTCGCAAACGGCTCCATAGCCTCTAACCCTAATGTCTAAAGTCTCGGAAGTCGCTAAAGTCGCCAGCCTCCAAGCTGCCACGTTTGACTTGGACGCGTCAAACTGAGCCTTCCCTCGTCGGACCCCCCGTCATGTCCTCTACAACACCTCCATAGCGGTCCTCAACCAGATCCCTTCATCGTACGAACGCCGTTTTCCTTGTCAACCGCATGCTCACATTTACCGCAGGCAAAACGTCAGATCGCCCCTTCCTCTCAATCCTCCTAGTTTACTAGTCGTTGCAGGTTCATGTCGTACGTGTTTTTTTTTGTAATCCGGCATCGCTTGCATTCACTTAGAGGTCAACGTACTAAAGACTTTTTCAGCGGTGTACGACTCTACACGTATTCGCTGATTGCAGAGGTTATCCTAGAAGTAGATCATGCTCAACCATTTGCACAAACGCTATGGAGAAACTGACGCGTTCGACTGCTTCATTCGTTTCAGACCGCACTCGCTCAAATTTTTCTGGTACGAGACTTCCTCACATTCGCATTCATTATCTTGCAGCAGTTTGCCCTACATATACTACATATACTACATATACCACAGGTATACCCATTTCCCGGTTTCACCGTGTGACTCGTCTATGCAGCCCTACAATCGATCAAGCTACAGATAACACCATTGTCGTGACCATGGACGGCCGCAGAAACTCACCGTCCCCATATCGCCTCACCCCCAAGTTCGCCTACTGTAATGCAGCAGTCCCATCCCCCTTGCCCCGCTTCCATGAACCCAATCAGTGGAAACCATGCTGGTACTCCTACGTCAGGTAGCGTGCTCTCTCTGGTTTCCTGCGACCTCGCTATTTTTGATCCTGATCATCTGCTGATGTTCCGGTGTCAATTGGAACAAAGGCGGGCTAGCACGAGACCGAACGAGTGTAGGTTGGAATGGACAGCAACAGCGCATCCAGCAGTCGTGTTCTATTGTAGCCGTGTACATGTAATTCACATTTCCAATATCATTGTAACAGATCCGGTACAACCTAGAGTAACGCGAAAATATTGTATGCACACACATTTGCACATGTCCTAGTATCATTTTCTGGAGAGTTGATCTTGCTCAGCTCTGACAACTTTCACGGAACGCCATCCATTCTCAGCACAGTTGGTTCTCAGCGTGCCTCAATCTCAAAACATTAAATTTGACCACAGTTGAAGGATTCGCGACTCCACATAATCATTATCTATAGCACGTTGAACTACAGACCACCGAAATGGAATTTCCACGTTTGTGTGTGGAATTGTGGATCAACAATATTGCCATTTGTGGCACCTCAACATTGCTCACACTCCGCCTGCCTTGATTACTCAAATCCTTGACTTAAACTCCTCGTCACTTGTTCATCAACTACATTCAATCTCACCGTAACTTCTCGTTGGAAATTCCAGCGAGTCGTTTCTCGGTGGTTTATATCTCTACGAACACGCGCTCAACAAGCACTCCGACTCTAAATACCTGCCCATCTGCGTTTCAACACATCACCAGTGCGCATCCAGCATTTCGTTGATATCCCCAACCACCTAAACTCGAGTCTTCTCTCCGTGGTTCAGTCCCTCAACTTCTCGAACCGCGCATTGCCTTACACCCTCTCCGACACGTCACATGCCTCGGTTCAACGCTCCATCCTCAAGAAAGCCAAAGGCCGCGAATTCCACACCTCGTATACGGCCTGCGGCCATGTCTGTGACTCGAAAACCCACAGTCGAAGATCATGCTCCTGGTGAGACAAATCCTCATCATCATTCACAACACCTCATTTCCGTTCCTTAGACAATGAAAAGGGATCAACGTCCCTCGGAGCTTCGTCTTGGCCAGAGAACCCATGGGCAGACGTCGAGCAAATCACCACACGGCCAAAACGGGGCCCTACATGTACGTCGACCGAATATCTATTAACACTCGTCTGACTCCTTTGCTCCAGTCGTCGACTATTGCAGCAAGCCGGGCCAATTCTGGCCAGACGGACAAGAGCCTCCCTTCAAAGGTCAGAAAGCCGCGAAGCGTATCTTCGTCACCAAAGGCAAAACGCAACCGCGCAAAGAGATCACCAAAAATTACGAAGAAATCAAAGAGCTGAAGAACTATGTGCCGTCTGACATATTTCACCCACGAACGGGAGATATCGAACTCTACTACGACTACTCCGACTACGACGGTACCGACGAGGAGGATCTATTTGACATCGACGAGGATGACGCTATACCTCCCCCCGCAGTCGCTCCCGTTCCTCCTCCTACCGTTGTCCCCACTCCTCCGCGTGTTACTGTCCATGTACCGGTTGGAAAATGGGTCGATGCAGGAGACAGAGCATTAGATCCAGAAGACCTCGATCTTCTATCGGAGATTATGGACATCCCGAAAGAGGTATCCAGCATGCTGCTGCCATCATCCGACGCCGTCAATGTACGGCAGATACTAAAATTCACGCTGCCCGACGTCGACGATGGGTCCTTCGCACAGGCCGGAGCATCATGCTTTGACAGTGCACGTCCGAACGAGAACCTGGACCTCCCACCATTTATACCCCCAAAGCCGTGGGTTTATAGCCTTCGAGAGTCTCTCGACGATGCCATTCGCGAAGGAAAGAGGTCGATCGTCCACCCCCAACTCAAAGATCAACCGTTGCCTCTTTGGATGTTGAGTCTTTGGGAGAAGCTACACGCGGTGCGCGATGCCAAAATGTTGTGGCAAAATGCAAATAGGTGGTTGTCGCAAAAAATGTACGACTGCGATATGAATCCTCTATCTGCCCGCCAAGAGATGTATCGTCTACCATACCACAAGAAGTTGGCTGGGCAAGCCTCAACTAGCCTAAGAAGTACATCACAGCTTGCACGATTCTTGTCGGACGACGCTTGGTTGTCGGATTCTCTCGTGGACATGATGATACACTCCACTATCCGACGATTAGTCCCCAACCAGTCCAACCTCGTTATCACTGACACCGAGCTCGCGGATGCGATCTGCATGGCTAAACCGAACTTTGATTCGTTGCCCAATGCATTCAAGACGTTAGAGCAGACGCTCGCCGAAGGGAAGATTCTCTTTTTCCCAGTGTGCATCCCCGGAATGTCCCACTTTGTTGCGTTTCGCATTGATTTTAAACGTAAAACCTTGCGCTATGGTAGGACATTTCCCTAACTAGTAAGATACAAACTGATTTTAACACAGGAGACTCTTTGAATCTCCGAGGGGGACTCGGGAGCTTCATTCAGAAGTTACAGCGGTGGCTCACCGTGCGTTTTCATGGGCCATTCGAAGACCAAGGAAATACCCTCGCACACGGCATTCAGCAAGATTCAATTTCTTGCGGACTGTTTTGCGTTAATACCATTGCTCATAACGTCTTTGGCGATCCCCTCGGCGTCCCTGACCCTGCGCGTGCACGAGCGAAATGGTTTCAGCGGATCGCTTTCGAGTATATTACCGCGGTGCCACAAGAAGAAATTCCTACCGTTTCTACGTCTGATACGGTAGCAGGTCCCCCTCCTCCTCCTTCGACGTCACCAGGCGGGCTGCCGCAGTGTCAAACTGAAACGGAGCAGCAAAAGAAGGAAAAGAGGAAGCAGCTGATACCAATATTTAAGGAGAAAGCTGATGCACGAGCAGCAGATGTTGCGCGGGCCAAGAAAGAGATGGAGATGGAGGAGCAGAAGGAGATCGAAAGGCAGATGGAAGTCGAGAGGCAGAAGCAGCTCGAGATCGAGAGGCAGATGGAAGTCGAGATCGAAAGGCAGCAGGAATCCGACAGGCAGAGGGAGCTTGAGATCAAGAGGCAGCAGGACCTTGAGATCGAAAGGCAGAAGGAAGCCGACAGGCAGAGGGAACTTGAACGTGAACGCCTCGAACGGGTACAGAAGGCGGATTCGGGTGGTCGAGTTATCGCGGAGGACGGCATGGACGTCGACATCGAGCCAGGCGAAGTGACCTCTGGGTCACACGCACCATCTCCAACCAAGGGCAAGACGGACACAGTCAATCGCCGAGATCGTTCTCCTCGTCGCCCACATGCGCCCTTCGTTCCAAACCGTTCACGTCGTTCATTGTCTCCTCCTCCACGTGGATCGCCATACCATGCATCTCGCCGAGAACTGTCTCCCCCCCGTCGACCATCGTCATATAGAGATTACGCTCCGTCTCAGTCTGACCGTCGCGCGCCTCCTCGTCGTTACCGATCACCTCCCCAAGAACATTCGACTCGCCGCGGTAGATCCCCCTCGCCGGGTAGAGCTCGGGGAAGTCACAGACAGTCCAACCGTCAACACAGTCCTGTCCGGAGAAGTTATCGCAGTACGTTTGCTTTCCCTCAAAACAGGCAGCTTGTCATAACAATTTTTTCTTATCACAGCGCCTTTGCCTCATCGCGGGCCACAACCAAACCGGCGCCGTGAGTACATACTATCGTTACTCTGAATCCTGAACTTATTTTTATATTTATAGCTCTTGATTCATGTCACCCTTCGTATCCCACACGAGCACCTTCCACCAACGTACCTGCTGCACCGTCATCAATTCCTGGCACTTTGTCTCTCCCAATGGGATATCTACAGTTCTTGCCCTCTTCTACTGTAACAAGCGTCGCAGGGTTGAACATGATGGGCTGCCGTCCTGCCAATAACACAGTAACCCGCTTCATCTTAGATCGAACGAACTGCCTCGCACAGTACGACGACCTCAATCCGCTTTCCCCGTCGTTGCGTAGCGATCCTCAAAATCGCCTTCTCCACATCGCTTGTTACCCTCCATATCACCTCCTCCATGCCATATCTCGTGGTAGGTTGGTCGTATCCAAGAGGACTGAAATCAGACTGCGTCTATGGAGAGCGCAATATCCGGATGTCCCCCTGTGGTTTTTCGCAATTCGTTGTCTCTCCCGCGGAATGGATTGGCGGGTCTTTGCCAATCCCCAGCACCTCGTCGGCCCACTGAGTACCCTCTCAGGTCCACGTCCCGCCTATCTGGACCAAAAACCTCTCTTGCTCACAAGGGGCAACGGAGAGTTTGAGCGGTACGAAAACAGCGTCAGGGATATGCTCCGACTCCCATTCAGCCGCCGTTTCTGTGGTATGGGCGGTCTTCTGTGGCGACTTGCAATCCAATTTGGACCAGACAACCTAATTTCGGCTGCCCTGTCTGGACCTTCGAGCGACGCTTCTATGCACTCGAACGTCGAGCGTATCGGCACCGATGTTGACGACATGGTAACGGACGCCCACATCAATACCCTATTAGGCCTAACGGACGACAACCATATCTTATGGCCTCCCATTGATGTATTTGACAAGTACACGCAGTGGCAAGGAGAATGGACGGCAAGCCTGGAGACATGGTTCATGAGGCACATTGCCGCGATGAAAAATAGGGATTCGCGCGCATTTGCCACCCGTAGTCAATGGATATCGAGACTTGGCCAGCATACGGCAACTTCGTTCAAAGACGCCAAGGTTGTGACTGAGGGGCAAGCGGAGTTGTTGTGCTACGACATTGATCGGTTGGATCCGAGATCTTTCGCGGCTTTAGATTAGCTTGGGTCATCGTCATTTTATTTGGTTTACAGAAATCGCTCGTTATACCCATACCGCACATCTAGCAACGGAATGTACTTTTACTTACTCATACTTCTTGTACAATTATTGGGTTCAGGAATTCAAACTTCAAGAACAGAACGGTATTTGCACGATACATTGGATCAAAGGACTATCGCTTCATGGTATGCAATTTTGTCTTGAGACTTTTTCCAAATCTACGTCTTATAAGTCCACGAAGTCGAACCTCGAAATCTATGTCTCAGAAGTCGCTAAAGTGGAACTTCCAAATCTATGTCTTACAAGTCGCTGAAGTAGTCACAACCGAATTACCATTACTAGTATCCGATATTTATTCATGTACAATAATGATCGCTACACGGTCTTTCTCCAGTTAATTCCTGTATACAGGCGAAGATCAGGGAGAACACATCGGTGTCCCAGTTTGAAAGTTTGTTTTGGAGGACTGAGACAAGTTGTTCGAAACCCATGCCGGTATCAACATGCTTGTTTGGGAGTGGCTCAAGCAAGCATGTTGATACAGGCATGGGTTTCGAACAACTTGTCTCAGTCCTCCAAAACAAACTTTCAAACTGGGACACCGATGTGTTCTCCCTGATCTTCGCCTGTATACAGGAATTAACTGGAGAAAGACCGTGTAGCGATCATTATTGTACATGAATAAATATCGGATACTAGTAATGGTAATTCGGTTGTGACTACTTCAGCGACTTGTAAGACATAGATTTGGAAGTTCCACTTCAGCGATAGATTTGGAAGTTCCACTTCAGCGACTTCTGAGACATAGATTTCGAGGTTCGACTTCGTGGACTTATAAGACATCGATTTGGAAAAAGTCTCAAGACAAAACTGCATACCATGAAGCGATAATCCTTTGATCGAATGTATCGTGCAAATCCCATATCTTAAGGACGTTTGGGTCGTCACCATCCTGAGGCCCATGAACTCAAATGCTGAACGGTGCTGATACTGTTTCTGCGGATGTGACTGCCCGAATCAGTGGTGGACCGAAGTTGAAAACCGATAGTATGGTTCTCGACCACTTCCGACTTAATGCTTTAACGCATCAACATCGACGTTCGACCAGATCACTAGTCTGTAATTCAGACTAGTCATCCTTCCGGAAAGACAACCTGGCTGTAGACGCTTTCCCTCCTCACGGCGTGCACTTGAACCCGATTCTCGACCCTCTGCTACTCACTCTCCCTCTCTCAACACTCCTGTGCATATCCCCCCGCAGGACATGGCGTCCATAAATTCGATCACAAATTTCTGCGCGGGTTCTCCTCGCCATAGAACCGCAACGCTAGTTGAACGGCTGGTACTGTGACGCACATCTCGGACTGTCTTGCAACTACTGTGCCGTAAATCTCAAATATGTATTGCCTTTAGCTGGCTTTAACTATCCTCAGACCAAAACACGGAAATCACATAAAAGTACATAGCATTTCACAGTATACACCTGTATGTTTTGTCTAACATAGTGCATCGCACCAACAGACAATAAACATTGATATATATATATAAACCCTTATCAACAGTGCATGACCCCTGTTCGCCCTTGTAGTGCCTGGCTAGACTCAGCATAGGACTTAGAGTCATGTTCTATTGATGGAAATCCGGTTCCGACTTCCCTGGCCTGACAGCCAGGTCCTGACTTTCCTTGGCAGGAGAAGTGAAGGCAGCACACACATGTCTGAATGACTCCAGCTCACGCACCAACATTGCAGGGATGCGGCTGCAAGGCAACATAACGCTCGTTGGGAAACGCAAGACCACCATGGCCTCAGTGATAATTGGGCAACAACGCCTCGCCTACAATCAAACAAATGAATACATGAACACAGGTAGCCAGTCATGTCTGCCTGGATTGCTGCCCTTGACAGGAGAAGGTAACGTGGTGCATAGATGTCTGGATGACTCCATAGCAACACTCCCTTGTCAGGGAGGCGTCCACATCGTTATGTGGTGGGAACTTGAGAAGTTGGAAGAAAAAGTTGAACATTGAACAGATATATACAAATCCTCAACGCCA